AGAAAAGAAAAGAAAAGAAAAGAAAAGAAAAGAAAAGAAAAGAAAAGAAAAGAAAAGAAAAGAAGAAAAAGAAAAAGAAAAGAACAGGGAACTTGGAGATCATCTCCAGGCCTTTAATCAACTTGGTTGCTCTTCTCAGTCCCCTGTCACTTTTTCCTCAGTGCTGTTGTAATTTTGAACCGCTGCTAAATGAACAGTTGTAAGTCGAGGCCTGTATTCAAAACCCCTTTCAAAAGAGCCCCCCTTTGACCAAACTGGCACCCCTAGCTCTGCCAGTCTTCATTCAGTGCCAGCCTCGGAATCTCTGGGCTAGTAAACATGTTTATTGCTACAAGGGTTATTCCCTCCCCACCCACCCACCCCCACGGGACAAAGTGCAATTAATAAATAAATGCAAAGTGCAGTTAATAAACTCCTCCCCGTTGCAGCTCAGGTAGCTTTTTAATTACAGGATCGTTTAGTCTTACCTTTTCCCCAGGTGGGGAGGCTTCCTAGCTTGCCAGTGGGCGTTTGGGATCATTTTCCTTGCCCTCAGCTGTGTGTGGCACATTTATTGTTCCTTTAGGACAGGGTTCAGCCGAGAGGATTGATTCCTTAACGCAGGGGTCCCCAATCACCGGTCCGCGGACCGGGACCGGTCCGTGGAACAAGTCCTACCGGGCCGCTGGCTTGCTGGGCGCCGCCATCTTGTTTTGATGAAAACACTTTTTCATCAAAACAAGATGGCGGCGCCCAGCTGATGTCGGTACCGGGCCGCGCCATAAAAAAGGTTGGGGATCACTGCCTTAACGGATGTAAGTCTTCGACTTACATCCACAATGGAGCCCAACCATTTCAGTCGTGAAGCGAGACATTGGTTAAGGCAGTTTTGCCCCATTTTTTTAATACGACGTTTCTTGCCAGAATTGTTAGCTCTGGGTTTTTCCCTCCCACAAGAGAAATCCAAAGATCCATTCCCTGCGTTCATTAGCCCATTCGCATGGCCCAATCAAATCTTCATTCCAACTGGAGACCTTCCTCCAGACACTCTCCCCTCCATGTGCCGGGCAACATGTCCTTGACTCTCTGAAAAAGAGTGTTGTTGAGTCTCACTAAGAAATCCCCCCTCCCAAATTCCCAGGTACTAAATGTGGCAGCCTCGAAGCTTCCAAGGGGGAAAAAAAATGGCTTTTCTGTTGTGAAGCGGGACATTTGTTAAGGTAGTTTTGCCCCATCTTTTATGACCTTTCTTGCCAGAATTGTTAAGTGAGTCACTTTACTTGTTAAGTGAGTCCCACGGTTTGTTAACCGAATTGGGTTTGTTTCCCCATCGACTTTGCTTGTCGGAAGGATGGAAAAGGGGAATCACGGGACCCCCGGGACACTGCGACCGTCATAAATACGAGTCAGCAACCAAGTGTCTGCATATTGATCACACGACCAGGGGGATGCTGCAACGGTCGTAAGTATGAAAAACAGTTCACCTTAACAATCACTGCAGCATCCCCCATGGTCATGTGATCAAAGTTCAGACCCTCGGCAACTGACTTCTATTTGTGACGGTTGCAGTGTCCCGTTTTGCAACCTTCTCACTAGCCAAGTCATTGGGGAAGCCAGATTCCCTTAACAACCACGTGACTAACTCAGCTGCAGGGATTCACTTAACGCTGGCAGGAAAAGACGTAAAACGGGGCAAAATTCATTTCACAATTCCTAACCACATAATTTTGGGGCTCAGTGGTGGTCATAAGTCAAGGACCACCTGGATCAGCAATTTTTCTAAGATGGGATTAGAACTCGCCGCAGTTTTGGGTTTCTGGAAAATTCTCTTTGGAAGACAGAAGCGTTGCTGAGAACTTTCAACTCCTCCAACCTGACACTTCGTTTTCCTTTGGGGGAAATCCATGAAATAGGAAATGATTTCCAACCTGGATTAATGTTCTCTTCTCTTCTCTTTTCCTCCAGGTATTATATGCACCATTATCCTACTATATATGCTCTGCACAGACTGTTGGATTATAGCAGTTCTATACTTAGTGTGGTACGCCTTCGACTGGAACACTCCGAGCAAGGGTAAGTGTCAGGCCTGCCCCAATCCAACCCCTTGACTCCGTTTGGTTAAATCAAAGGGTTCTTTTACTAAGGATGTTGGTTGCAGTAAAATCAAGCTGGCTCTGAAATCTCCCACGTTTACTAGATAACAAAAATAAGGTGTAGGTTGGGCCACAGTCCATCCCTCCCTGCCACGATTTTATTTATTTATTTATTTGATTTGCCAATTGTTTACAAGATAATAAGTATAAGTGTATACATAGTTGTGAATACATGAAATGGGTACATATAAGAAAAATAAAAGAAGAATAAGAGAAACAATAGGACAGGGACGGTAGGCACGTTGGTGCGCTTATGCACGCCCCCTACAGATCTCTTAGGAAAGGGGTGAAGTCAATAGTAGACAGTCTAAGGTTAAAGTTTTTGGGGTGTGTCCGTTTCCAGCCAACCGGAGCTCACCAAGATATTTTGAGAATTTTTCGGGGAGGTTGGGGGACAATCCGTATATTTCTCAAGGTACCCTGGTCATAGGTTGCTGATACAAACAGGATTCAGTAGCTCTGGTCCTATCTCACCTGTCCTTCCCCCTCCCAGTTTCCTATCACATAGCCACAAAGCTTTCTCGCCCTTTCATCCTTCCTTCCAACGTTTGATGGCGAGATGCCTGTGAGGCGCCAAGCCGAACCAGGCGGAGCGGACAGTAAGGGATACAATTTTGCAATTAAAAAAATAAATAAATCTGAGAAGGGCTTTTTTTCTTCCTTCTTTAGGAGAGTTGTGGAGGTAGTCCTCAACGTAGGACCCTAATTGAGCCACAATCCTAACCTGTGATGGTCATTAAGTGGGACATCATATTACTGTGCCAGATTTTGCCACCCCTTTGCAGCAGCCTTTAAGGAAGCCCGTTGTTCCCTGGGTGTGTTTTTTTCAGAAAGCCGAAGTCAACGCCGGTTTTCCACTAAAAATGTTATAAATTGCAGTCAGTCTAGGCACCTTTAAGACCTTCAACTCCCGGAGTTATTCTGCATTTTGTATCTTCAGATGCAGGGTAGAAATTGGTGAGAAGAAATGATTTTTCCCCCCAGATATAAACTGAAGGCCAAATATGGCTTTTTCAGGCTTGTGCCTTGGCGTGCATATTTTCCAACTAGCTGGATTCCCATCCTGCTTACAATCTTTGTGAAGCTGTTGCCTTCTGGCAGAAGATACAGAACATTTAAAACTCGGACCACACGTTTTCCCAGAGCTATAATTGCACTTAACAATGAACTTAAGGACCACCATCAGTGACCACCAATGCTGGACAGGATTACTTGGTCTGTTGTGTGAATGCTTATGTGTTTTTAAGGGGCGGGGAATTTTGGTGGGTGGGGAGGTGTCATGTGTGTATGCATGTTGAGTCTGGTCTCTGGGTGTTATGTGAATTTCGTTGTATGTATACTGTGTATATACGTACAATGGCAATAAAGAATTCAATTCAATACCCATGCTTCACTATGAAACTATGTGGCTGGACTTAGTTTTTGGGGAGGAAAATAAAAGGGGAAAAATTCTGCCTCTGCCTACCAGCATCTGGCTAGTGTCCTGTCAGTTTGTGAGAGTTGAGTGCTGTTTGGAAGCTGAAACAGTATTTGCTGTGTGAACAAGGAGGAGACAGTAAGGAGCCTGGGCGTGGCTTAGCTCAACTGTTCTGTACTAAAGTTGCTTGGTGCTGCTGTGAAACTGAAACTCCTCTCCTCTGCTTGTGTTTTGCATTTGGAACAGATTTCTTTTCAGGTGGGGAGGGGGAGTAGAACTCCTTAGCATCAGAGCGTGTTAATAATAATAATGTAGGAAATGCTAATGCTTTGATGGTCATTTCGAGAAATCCTTTCTTAGTGAGCCCCTACAAGCCGAGAGGAACCTACGTGCTAAATTTCACGTTTGTAGGCTTTACGGTTCGGGAGATTTTGTGATGATGTGTGAGGGGTCTTTCGCTTTTATATAGATAGATTTGAGCATCATGGTTAACTAAATTAGCTTCACCAATATATGGCATTTGGCTGCACCTTCCTTGTTTATATATCCTCATCTCTCAATCTTTTCTCTTATATTTTTTTTCAAAGCTGGAAGAAGATCTCAGTGGATTAGGAACTGGGCCATTTGGAGATACTTCCGAGATTACTTTCCAATCCGAGTGAGTTGCGATAAAACTGTTGGGATGTTTTATCAGAGATGATTTCAATGAAGTGTTAAAATGCTTTGTTCTTTTTTTTAATGTATTTGTAGAATTTCTTGGCCACCCATCTTACCACAGAATGGCTGGCTTACAATCTTAAAAAAGATTAAAAATGATACTTTCACAGGAAGTCCTTGACTTACGACCAGAATTGGGACTGAAACCGGTAGCAAAGCAGCAAGGTCATTAAGTGAGCCGTGGTCGATTTTATGACCCTTTTTGGCCACGGTTGGTAAGCGAATCTCGCTTGTGTCATGGACTTTATTGAAAGCCTCTGGGAAGGCCATAAACGGCAGTCACGTAACACCCCGGAATGCTCCAACCGTCCTAAATACAGGCCGGTTGCCAAGCACCTGAATTTCAATCCTGTGACCCTGGGGAATACTTTGATAGTCGTAAGTGTGAGGACTGGTTGCAAGTCACTTTTTTCAGCGCTGTTGTAACTTTGAACGTCCATTACATAAACGGTCGCCAGTCGAGGACCACCCGTAGCATGTGTCGTGCTCCTGTGCCACACGTATGTTAAGAAAGTTTGGGGTGTAATGAATGAGATGGCTGAACTACTAATTACGCTTCCCGAGTGGGCCAATATGGAGGAGGTCCTCCAGGCACGGGCGCTGCTGCGTTTCACCGGTCACTTCTAAAGGATGGCGAGAGGGGTCGACATTGCGTCAACCAACTCAGCTGGTCTAGCAAATGAGATCTATGGTAGTGTTTTTCAGTCTTGGCAATTTGAAGAAGTTGTGGACTTTTTTTTTTGTAATATTTTTTTTTAAAATTTGTATATACAATAAATCCATTCCATTTCAATTGTGCGTCGATTAGGTAGATTATTTCAATTATTTAACCATTATTAAGAATATTCTTATCCAACTTAACAATATAACAATAATCACAATCCCATGTATGTAGTATAAATGAGATCCAATATGTCCATTACATTAGTTTCTCTTACTGCTCTGTGAATACATCTAATCCCTTTTAGTTTATTCTATTTTCCATCCATTGATAAAACAAATCCCATAGCATATAATATTCAGATTTTTCTTTTTCTTTCATTTCTAATGTCAATCTATTCATTTCTGCACATTCAAATATTTTTTTCAATTATTTTTCCCTCTATCGATATCTTATCCCTCTTTCAGTTTTTGGGAAAATACAATTCTAGCCGCTGTTAAAACATGTGTAATTAAGTAGCTCTTTGCTATACTATAACCTTCTGGTAGTATTCCTAGTAGGAATATTTCAGGCTTCAAATCTATATGTTGTTTAATCATTTTTTCCAATCATGTGTGTATTTTAGTCCAATACCTTTTAGCTTCTGTCCAAGTCCACCACATATGGTATAATATGTTCTGGGTATTTGATGATATTTCCAACATTTAATTGATTTACCTTTAAACATTTTTGCTAATTTTGCTGGAGCTAAGTGCCATCTGTAAAACATCTTGTATAGATTCTCTTTATATGCTTGTCGATATTATCAATTTATAGTTCCTAAAAGTTGTGGACTTCATGCTGGCTGGAGAATTCTGGGAGCTGAAGTCCACAGCCTCTTCAAATAGCAAGGTTGAGAAACAGCGCTTTAATGTTTTTCTATCCAGCACCTTATCTTCAAACATCTTGCTCAAATCGTGTCTGATCGCTGGCTTGACTTTCTCTCTTTGTCTGCTCCTCCCAACTCTGACCTTAATTTCCAAACTGGTTGAGCCAGAATTTGTTCGTGTTTTTTCTGGAGATTGTGCAAAATAGTGTCGCATCCTTGTGATTGATGTGCAAAAAATATACGCTTGCAGGATGAGAGCTGCTACAGCCTTTTCACTTTTCATTCCAACTCTCTTTGCAGCCCATTCCTTATATGACAAATATTTGGAGTGATATCGGGCTGAAAAACTCTGTATTTGATTGACATCTAATGCTGGACTTGTCCCTACTGTGTTACTTCTTACAAGTTCACAGAGGAAATGAAATCTCTCTCACGGTTATTACTGTTGAGCCAGGGACCACCTATTCTATACCTGTATATTTGTTTTTTTCTTGCCTAAGTGTAAAACCTTACTTTCCTCACCACTGAATTGAATTTTCTTAGATAGGGCCCAGTGTTCGTCTGTCGAGATCCTTCAGGTATTACAGAGAATAGGTTAACCCCCTGTTCTTTTTGGCAGCCCCTGAGATATTGGAAGGCTGCTATCATGTCACCCTTAGTCCTTCTTTTCATTAAACTAGACATACCCAATTCCTGCAACCGTTCTTCGTATATTTTAGCCTCCAGCCCCCTAATCATCTTTGTTGCTTTTCTCCACACTCTTTCTAGAGTCTCAACATCTTTTTTTTAATATTGTGGTGACCAAAACTGGATACAATATTCCAAGGGTGGTCTTTACATTATAAAGTGGTATCAACACTTCCCGTAATCTTAATTCTATCCCTCTGTTAATGTAGCCTAGGATTGTGTTGGCTTTTTTGGCAGCTGCAGCACACTGCTGGCTCCTATTCAAGTGCTTGTCCCTCTCCCAGCTACCGCTATTGAGCCAGGCATCACCTATTCTGTAGATGTGCATCTAGTTTTTCTTCCTTAAATGTAGAACGTTACTTTTCTCATCATTGAATTGCATTTTGTTAGATAGTTCAAATCTGTTCAAATCTGTTAAGATCCTTCAGTATCTTAAGCCTTTCTTCCGGAGTGCTGGCCGTTCCTGCGAGCTTGGTGCCATCTGCAAATTTGATGAATTCCCTTTCTATCCCCTTGTGATGACCCGGGGCATGGCACAAAAGCAACAAAGTCACAAAAGTAGGTAGAATCCCTTTAATACCTCCAACTTGGCCCCCAATGTCCAGTTATCATCGGCTGGAGAGAAAACTCTCCCAAGAACAGTCTTTAAAGGGAAGAAATTCAGTGCGAACCCCAAAGTACATATAAATTATAAATAAAAACCAACACAAACCACAAGCTGCAGCAATTAACGAGACAGGGCTGGATAAGGAATTGCAGAACTCAAAACATAACGAAACATACAGTTTGGGAGGACACCAGAACCCAGATAGGACTTGACAAGCAAAGATTAATGCACGCTTTGCTTCCAGCAAGGAGCTGTGCACAAACACCCTCTTTATCCTGTTTCCCCAGCTGCAGCCAATGAAGGGAATCAGGGCCTTTTTCTCCCCCGTAACCCACGTTGCTCCCTTATCCATTCCTCCCTGCGTGCCCTAGGATGAAGAAGGGGGTGGCCCTGGGTGTTCCTCTGAATGCCCAGCCGGCCTTTGCCCTTCCCCAGTTTCCTCCCCAGCCACCGGAGCCACACTCCCACTCCCTGTCACCTGCTCAATCTCCCCCTCAGAATCAGATTCCAACAGGGGCACGACACCCCGTATTTAAATTATTGATTAAGATATTGAAGAGTACTGGACCTAAGACAGAGCCATGCGGTACTCTACTGCATACTTCCTTCCGTGTAGTTCCATTGAGGACTCCATGTTGAGTGCGGTTGATCAGCCAGTTACGAATCCAACTGGTGGTGATGCTGCCTATCATAAGGACCTTGGAGGTCTTCGAATCCAACCCCCCTGCTCAGTTCAGGAGACCTTATACCAGTCTGGTCAAATGGTTGTCCAATCTTTACTTGAAAACCTCCAGTGATCCATCATCACCTGCAACTCCAGGAAGCAAACTCTTCCTTTGGTAAATCGTTCTCACTTCAGGAAATTCCTCCTTAGTTCTACACTGAATATTTCCTTAGTTAATTCCCCTCCGTTGCTTCTTGTCCTGCCCTCAGGGGCTTTGGAGAATAGCTTGACCCTCTCTTCTCTGTGGCAGCCCCTGAGATATCGGAACACCGCTATCAAGTCAACCCCGGTCCTTCTTTTCATTAAAGTAGATGTACCCAATTCCTGCAAGCCAGGGGTGGGATTCAAAAATCTCAGCCACCGGTTCGCTGCCCGGTTGCTGGGTGGACATGGCCATGGTGGGAGTGGCCTACCAGAACTTCCGGGAGGGCCATTTTTTGCCTTCCCCAGGGTCCAGAGGCTTCCCCCGGGCCTCTGGGAGGGCCAAAATGGCCTCCCTGGGGTCCGGAGGCCCTCTGGAATCTGGAAACAGGCCCGTTTCTGGACTTTTCGCACTCCCAGAGCCTACTGCATCCAAAACAGACCACGTGGAGACTCCTGGGAGGGGCCGGGCAGTGCAGGTGGGGCCAGCCGGTTGGTTCAACTACCATTTCGGCGAACCAGATGTAAATTTAACATCCGGTTCTCCCAAACTGGTCCAAACCGGCTGAATCCCATCCCTGCCGTAAGCCTTCTTACCAAGAAATAGGTTGTGGTCTACATTGTCAAATGCCTTACTGGAATCCAGTTATACTAGGTCCACAGCATTTCACTGGTCCCCTAATTTTGTCACTTTGTCCAAGAACGAAATAAGATTGGTTTGGCATGATCTGTTTTTTGACAAACCCATGTTGGCTTCTGGCTGTGACTTCGCTTGCTTCCAGGTGTTCGTACATCTGTTGCTTGATTACCTTTTCCTGGATGACTTCCTAGGTATTGATTTCGGGCTCATGGGCCTGCAGTTTTCTGGATCTGCTTATTTTTCCATTTTTTGAAGATGGAAACCACATTGGTTCTTTTCCAGCCCTCTGGTAGTTCCCTGGTGTTCCAGGATCTTTGAAAGATATATGGTTTCAGTGGTTTCTGAGATCTTTCTTGGGCTGGGTCAGAGCCACCAAATCCTATTCTATGGCAAAATATACATGTTGGATTGAAAGGCTCGACTAGCTTTTGAACTTCTGCCCTGGGACTTGTTGTCATCTTTATTTTTTTAAAAAAAAGCTGAATGGTGACTGGTGTTTGGCTCCTATCAAAGGGCATCCTTTGATCTACAGATTTTCATTTGCCGTAGTCAGGTTTCTCCTGCTTCTCCAGTTATAAAATACAGTGAACTAAGCCCAGACATGACTTATCTT